GAGGAACCTGTTTCTCCTGGCCAGGATAGGTGGGAGGAGAAGATGCCAGATATAAACTGGGAGACTCATTCCTCCTTCTTTAAATCAGTTTGGAGCTTCCTCTTGAAATCACAGCAGGGTTTGGTTGACCTCGCTGCAAGCCGGGCAGTCACAGGGGTAATTGCAGCTCGTCTGGGTGGGCAGTTGTTCCCGATCCCCTGTCCCAAAACAGTCTTCTGTCTTTCCAAGGTTTTCCGTGCCAGCTGTTAAACTGTTTCTGCTTCCAGAACAGATATCCCAATTTACATTTCTTGACATCCTTTTAATTAAAAACACCTGCTTTCTGTATTGCCGGGTACGTAGCTGAAAGGGGTTTCATTGGTTCTGGGATCTTTTAGGCTGAATTTTGCTTGAGGATTTTTGCTGTCGTTCGGAAAGTTGCGCTTTCGCCCGGTGCTGCGTTGCTGGGAAAGCAGCCATGCGCGGAGCCGATCCTTGGGGCCGAGCTACCAGGGCTCTTTGCTAATTAAAACCGACGTACGTACCCAAGCGCAGATTTAGATCTTGGCTCGAGGCCCGTGTTTGTGCTCCTGGCTGGCGTAGGTGTAGGTCTGCAGGGTTTTGAGGAAGGATTTTTGGGTCAGAGCAGCAGCTCGCAGCTCCTGGAGGAGCCTGGGCTCGAGCACTTCCAGTCCTCCCGCCCGTCCGGCACGTCAAGGTGGAGAAGCTCTGGGTCCGTGCAGGGATCTTGAGTCTGGACTAAAACCCCAGCTTGCAAAAGCTGCTCAGGAGCTCCCACGGGCCGCACGCCTCCGCAGCCTCCCAGGGGTTCAGCACATCATCTCCGCTCAGAAGCGAGCTCCGCGCATCCCTCCTGGCTGGCTCCCTGTTTAATTTCTGCGCTGATTATTTTCTGGTGCCCTGGGGTGCAAGTCCTCTTGCCCTTCCCACAGCAGTCAGGCACCGGAGTGCTTCTGCTTGGAGATAAATGCACGAAGGCTTTCCAAGCGTTCGCCAGCTCGGGGAGAACTGTTTGGCTGTAATGGTGGGGGAAGTGGAGGTTGGCAAGAGAAGTGAGTGTTGTGTGGGATCCTGCATTGACGGGTCGCCCGGCAAAGCAGAGAAGTGCCGGAGGATCAATTTGGGCCTGGAGCTCATTTTGGAAAGTGATTTTCCAAAGCGGCCCCAAAATTTCATCTCCCGTGTGTTCGTGCGTGCAGCTAATTCTGCTTTAAAGGGAAAAATCCGGTCCACGGCGCTTCTGCCTGTATCTCTGGAAACCGAGATAAGGGTAATTGGAGCTCATGCTTCGAGGCACAAATTGTGTCTGCGGGGAAAGGGAGGACCAGCCCATTTCTGGTGCAATATTGTGCCACGGTCTTGTAAGGGAAAGTTTCTGGGTGGCTTTGTCTGATGGGGGGGCTCCCACCGGGCCCATGAAGCTTTAGGGAATAAGGTCAAATTCAGCATTAGCTGAATCAAACCTGGTGGATTTGACTTTGGGCCAGAGCTCTTGGTGGGTACACCAAAACCCGGGTGTACCTCATTTCTTTTCTGTACAAAATATTCAATAATTTTGGAAAAATCCCATCACTTTCATTGTCGCTTCTTCCTCCTCACACTGGTTTTTTTTTTGAGCGCCGTAGCTAGTCGCATGAAGGACGCGAATCCTTTTCCGAGGCTCGCCGTCAGTGGCGTCTGCTCTTCTCTAGCACCTCTTCTCTGAAAACCTCGGAGCTCTTGGTAATCATCTTCCGCTCCGAGAAGCCGGTATTATCCTGCGCTATTGAAGGGGAAACTGAAGTGCCCGGAGGTGACTCAGTCCTTGTTGCAGAGCAAGTCAGGAGAAGAGCCGGGAACAGACTCCCAGAAACCTGCCTTTTGGCGTTAAAGCAGGAAAAGGACTTGGGTCGTGGCAGGGCAGTGACTCCAGAGTGGATGGAAAAAGGCAAAATTTAAAGTGAGTTTCTCACTCGAAGCCTAAGCTTTCCACCACGGAGAAAATGCCTCGCTAGGCTGTTTTTTTTTGTGCATGCTGGTAACTGTTTCGGACCTGGCGTTGCTTTGCTGCTGCTCTGTGGCTCATCAGATGCAAATAGAAATAGCGAGCCTTCATGTTTGCGCAGCTCTGAAACAATATTTTGATTTTCTGGCTTAACCCTCGCTCCACCAACGCTGGGCTTTGCCAAAATAATTACTCTCTTACAGCTGTTCACAGCAGAATCCTGCAGTATCAAGGCAATCGTACCAGTATAAATAAATAGGGGGATTTGTCCAAATGCAAAATAACCTGTTGAAGGCTCCCCTCTGTTTTCTAGCGGGTAGTTCCCCGATTTTGGATCGCGAGGTGCCTGTGCCCACGCAGCCGAGTGCTGCAGCCACCCCCAATTTCACCCTGCGGCCATTGCCAGCCACGTCGCAGAGTCAAACGGTCTCTGGCTGCCGCTAGCTCTGCTGAATCCAAACTGATTTATTCCTTAAAAACAACCTCAACAAAACAACCTCCTGCCATTGTTTCCCTTCCCGTTTGTGGCGGGCGATGGGATTAAGGTTTAACCTCTGGTCTGCGGGTGGCTGCGGAGGGAGCTCGGCAGGCACTTGCCTTCCCTCCCCGCAAGCCTCGGCTTGTCGAGGTCCGCGGGCTCCTGCACCCTGAAACTTCTGCGCAAGCACTTTCCCCGCGCTCGGGGCGGGAGCGGCGATGTCTCATCGTGGGATGCCGCTGAGCTGCACGGTGGGGGTCACGTAGCCACAGCCCCGCTTGGGGCCACCGACTCGGTGCTCCAGCCCCTGGACCTCTGATGCATTGGGCTCGGGTTTTTTTTTTTTTTTTTTTTTTTTTTCCTCCCCAGAGCCATCTTCCCACACGTCGTGCCAGGGCGGTGGGACCCCCCCCCCAGTCCTGCTCGGTGCCGGCACGGAGGAGACGTGGCCTCACAAAAGGCTCCTCTGGCAGCCTACATCTCGCCACGGCCGCAGGTAAAGCTCCCGGGGCTGCTCCGTGCTGCACGGGTCGGGCTCGAGCCCCGCCGGAGTTGCAGGGACGTGCACCGAGCACCGGTGGTGGAGCAGAGCTTTGATGTACCGGTGCCCTGTGCCGCTGCGTCCTGCAGCCCGTAAGTTTTGCTTTAGGACAACAGGATTAAAGAAAATTAATCCCCTTTGATCGAGCTTTTGAGGCTGCGTTTGGGGAGGTGCGTCGCCTCTGAAACCAGGAGGATCCTGACGGGGGTTACCAAGTACATCAGATGCTTTGAATTCCAGGATTCCTCTCCCGCTCCATCATCTGCGCGGGGATACTGGGTTCGTTTAAGCCATAATCCACCGTTTAACGCATCCCAGTAACCGCGCCGTCGCCCCGCCGTCCTCTCCCACCACCAGCAGCCTCAAACAGGTCCCTGATTTCATCCGCTCGTCTTCCTCGAGCGGCCGGGCGCGGGGCTGGAGGGCTGACACCTCTCCTCCTCTTTGAAGGTTGCCGCTCCCAGCGCGGGACGGTTCCCTCCTCTCTTGTGCAAAGCCAGCCGGGCCAGTTCAACCCGCCCTCGCCGGCAGGTTAAACAAACCCGAGCCAAGCGTTACGCTTCCGCCGTCTCGGCGAGGCAGACGGCGACGTCCTCAGCTGGGAGAGGACGCCCGTCCCTGCCGCTTCGCTTCAGGATTGTCCTTAGAGATCTTCCGTCCTCAGGGAATGTGATACCGTCGAGGAAATCCTGGGTTTCCAGATGAGCTGCCGGTGGCGCTTCTAGCAGAAGGTGATTTATCAGCAGGTACGAAATCCTCTCGGCGCAGTCCTCGCTGCGCAAACATCGAGCCATCGATCGGGGGTTTTTAAAGCAAAACGGGAGAACAAAGGCTGGAGCAACATCGGCTTGAAGCTGTGTGAGGAGTCTGTTGCCAAATAAAACGCGATAGCGGGGCTGAGTCCGCTCCGCACAGGCCGTGGGGAGGATGAAGTCTCTGTAATAGCTGATGCATCACTTTTTTTTTTTTTTTTTTTTCCACCGATATTTTGAAACTTTGTTGTGCGAGCGAAGCTTGCTTCGTCTTCTGGTAGGGATGCGTTGCAGGTGGAGTTAGTTTTGGAGATAAGGTGTTATTCTGGGGCTCTGAGGCGCTGCCAGGATGTGCTTCCGTGGTGGCAGGGGACTAATTAGGTGGTGCCAAGCAGGCAAGCATGCTGCAGGTTCAGGAAACATCAGCATTGTCTGCAAGGCAAAGATTAGGAAGATGTGCGTTTTTGCTAATTTTGTCCAAATTCTGAAAGATCTGGGGGCTAGAACTATTACTTTGATGTGCTTTTATCTTCCTATGAATTAATTAGCGTGTTTCACAAGGCTCTAAAATTGATGCCGGGGCTCTTTGTGCTCTTGGCAGCTGAAGAGAGCAGCTGGTGAATTTTTGTAGTCGCAGCAGCTTTTGAAGATGTGCGAATCGGAGGGTTTTAAGACGCTACTTGTTCGTACTGACACAAGAGAAATAACTTTCCGGAAGGACAAATGGGTTTCGCCTCTTGCGTTATCAGAGGCTCGAGTTCTTCCTAGTTCTTCGCTGCTGTTTTCTCCTTCCCAAACAGATAAAACAAGGAACCCGTGAACGCTAAAATGTAATCTCAAACTCTTGTGGAGCTCGGGATGAATTCGGTGCTTTTCACCAAGCTGGATAACTTCTTAAATCGCTGTGGCCACGACTCTCTGTTCAGGTTTTAAGTGAACCACCTGCTCCATCCAAGCACACGCACAGCTCTCGCGTCCCGAAAGGCTCCGTCTGCCCACGGAGCTGCTGTCTGAGACCACCCCCCTACCCCCCCCTCCCCGAGTGATCCGGCAGCATCGGGATCCTTCCATCCTGGTGATCCAGGAGCACCCTGCTCGGGCTGCACCGAAACGCGCGCCTTCACCACCTCCTCCAGACACCCGTGGCACCCCGGTGTCTCCCGCAGCCGAGCGGCATGAGCTTGTAACTCGTGAAATTGGAGAGGGAAAAGAAAAAAAAAGAACAAGTGGTGGGAGAGGTTAGTGTTCATCTGATGATCTTTTTTATTTTTTCCCCCCGCCCCGGATGCCACATCCTTCTGATGGGATTCTAGGAAAGCTTCCAAGCACCAATTAGCAGTCCGATGGTGGTGCAGAAGATATTTTGATCCATGAATATTCTGAAAGGGAATAAATATGAGGAAAATTAGCGCAAATGGGAAGTGAGCAATCTTGTTGTAAACCATGATAGATGATTAACATTCCTGACTGTGGTTTTTATACCCCCCACCCCCCCCCCCCTCCTTGCTTGTAAAAGGCATTTGAGTCAAAATACGACCTTCTCAGCTGCGAGACGTTGTCGTCGGGCTCTGTTGGATGGGGTTGGCAGAGGCGCGGCCGTGGTGGCTTCCCTCTTACCCCCGGGCAGGTACCTGCTGCTCTCCTCAGTCTCACCCTCGCTGCCCGGCTCGTGGTCTGGCACCTTCCCGGCAAACGCCCGTGGGGTGGACGGCGCACGTCCATCTGCGACGCCGGGCACACCCTCTTGAGTTCGTTTGCAAGATTCGCCGGCTCGTCGGGCCGATTCGAGGGTGTTTCCCTTGAGCAAACACAGAAGGGAAATAAAGAGAGGAGCGAAATACTCGGGCTGACATCAAAGCCTTCCTTCTCTGCGCCGGAGTGGGCTCGGGCAGCGTTCCTCCTCGCGGCGAGCGAGATGGAGGGCGCGCACCACCTCACGGGACCCGCCAATTAGTGCTGCTTTCGTTTAGGAAATGCCATCGCTCTCGTTCAGCTGGAAGGCTGAGGCTTTACGCAGCAGAGTTGTGATCCTCGCCCTTAGGTGAGGCTCCCGTGCCCAGGTGAGGAGCTCCATGGCTCGTCCTCGCACAGAAGGTCCGCATTGCACCTGGCGTGCCCTGGCCAGGCTTTGAGGGTCACTGATCTCAATTAGGGGTCTTAAAACCGGCAAAACCCCCGGGGAGGCTGTGGGGCTGCAGGTCGGCGGTCCTGGCTCTGAGGGGTTTGGTTACTGCAGGCCCCACCGACGGGCGCGCTCCCCCGGGGCGCTCTCTGCCCGCGCTCCGGGCCACGGACGCGCTTTTCAGGGGCTCTTGAGAAAGCTGGAGGAAGGCGCAGGAGGAGAAAGGCGCGTTGGAAGTGTGGCACGGCAAAGGGCTGCTGCCCTGACCGGGGGAAATACCGGGGCGAGCCAGGCTGGGAGGGCCGGTTCTTCCTGCCGGGATAGCCGGCGGGTTTTCTGCCAGCTCTCGCCTGCCCTTTCCCTCTCCTTCCTTCCAGTCTCTTGATCCCCAGCCACCCGGAGGGGCACTTGACTGGCTGCTTTGTTTCAAATGTTGCTGCCTCATTGGTTCCCGGCTCAAATCTCCTCTATTCCTGCTCTGCTTTCTCGAAAGCTTCGTCTTTAACCCCTCCGAGCCTCGCGGCAGCCGCGCTGCCATCCCCTCTCCCGGCTGTTCCTCCCTCCGCGCTCTCCCGACGGATTGCTGGCCTGGCGGCGTGGGCGAGAGAGTTCAGCGGCGGCGGCGCTCCCGGTCCCAGAAAATGGTAATAACCTCCTGTTAAATCGCGGGGCCGTAGCGCCGGCGTTAGTCACCGTCTCGGATGCACGGAGACGGTGGGGAGCTGCTATTTCGGTCGCTGACTTCGGAGCGAGGCTCGCCGCTGTGGGAAGCGAGCAGGACGGGCTCTGCTCGGCCAGCAGCTTCGCCTCCCCAGCCCTGCTTTGGGATACGCCGAGGTTTAACCGTGCTGCTCTCCCCTGTGCCAATCCCCCCTCCCCGCCGGCATCCGAGCACCGGAGGATGAAGGAGAAAATAATCAGGCAGTCCCGGTGTGAGCCCGGGGCCCGGCAGCAGGAGCGTCTGCCTGCGAAACCGGTTCGGGAGGGCGATAAGAGCAGGTCGGGAAGTACGTTGAAGCTGGGAAAGTCGGCACCGCGGCGGGGAGGGGGAAGACGCGCCGGTGGGGAGAGCTGAGTGCCAGGACCGCCGTGCCGGCCGGGCCCTTGGTGGGCAGCGCTTGTGGGGGGGGTCCGGTAACCAAGTGGGAGTCCCGGAGCGCGGACCCCGGCCCTCTTGGGGAGCTGATGGCGGAGCGCCCCGCTCCGTAGGTGTCCCCGCGTTCCAGCCCCGGCGAGGACGGGGGGGGGGACACACACACACCCCCCGGGGCCCCCGTCCTGCACTCGTCTGCCCATCGCTCGCCGGTGCTGGGGGAGGCGCTTCGGAGTTTGCAGCGTCAGGAGTCGGGAGCGCTGCCGCCGGCCGGGAGTGTTGGGCCGGAGCTGCCGGCCTCCAGCGCGAGCGGTGACCCCCCCCCCCCCCAGCCACCTTTGTCCCCCCCCCCAAGGGGCTGCCTGTGCACGGTTTTGGGGGGGGGGGGGGTTCCTCGGTCCCTGCGCCCCTCTCGGGGCGAGGGTTTGGGGCAATCTCTCCCTCCTCCTCCCCCTCTGGCTTGCAGGAAGCAGGAGGATGGTGAAGGTGAGTAATGCCGAGTCTGGCTGATTTTCATGTTCGGTTTTCTTTTAAAATTATTTTTACCCAGTGTGTTTTGGGAGGGGGCAACACCAAGGGGGGCCTCTCGGAGGAGGTTTATTCCTTTCCCGAGCCTGAGCTGGGTTGGGCGGCTGTCGGAAACGCTCAGAGCAACAGGGAATCTCTCCATCTTGCCGGCTGAAGCAGGTCTGTTGTTTGTTAGCGGCGCTGCGAGGTGAGGCCGGTGTTCCAGGGGGAACGGAGTTATTTCTGGCGAGGAGGAGGGGAGGGACTCTCGTTTTCCCTGCGTGGAGCTGGAGGGGAGGAAGCCTGTTTGCAGGGGGAAGGAAAAAGGGGAAAAAATCAAAACGCAGCGAGCGGGGGGAAGCTGAACCCCACCTTCTGCGCCACAGATGGGATTTGGAGTTTAAAAACTGGATATCCCTTTAGCACGGGCGTCCTGCTCAGCTGCAGCTGGCACGCAGGTGAATGGCATGGAAGGGCCGGTCACTGGCTATCGCTTCCCAGCTGGTGGCAAGCGAAAGGTTGTTCTTGCCTGGAAGCAAGCAGGGGTAGATAACGTCACCCGGAGCCAGCTGCCTGCTGCAACGGTGGCAATGAGGCTTTGGGGGGCCTGTTAGACCCCCTGAAAACCCTCGTGGCTGAGCCTGGCCTGGCCTGAGGAGGAGACCTGGGTGCCGGGTCGGTTGTGAATCAGTGGGGGGGGTGACGGCGCTGGCACCCAGGGGGGGTTGGTTCCCCTGGCTCCCGGGGGTCCCACGGGCTCCTCCGACCTCAGAGGAGGCTCCAGGTGAGCTGAGCTGATGCTGGGGGTGGCCACCACTCCAGAACCCTCTCTCCATGGGAGTTGTTTGGTTTGGGTTTGTTTTTTTTTTTTTTTTTGGTTTTTTTTTTTTTTTCTTCCCCCAAGCACCGTGTAATTCAACCAACTTCCGAATGCTCTCAACAAAAACTTGTGTCTCGGCCTCCAAACTTTGCCTGCGTCTGGCAGCGAGTCTCTTTGTGGAGCCCGGGGCAGGGAGAGCAGCTCTGAGATGCGACCGTGGTGCAGTTGCAGGACAAACAGCCCCTTTCTGCCGCTCTGGGGAGCAGCAGCGGCCGGACCAGATGTTTATTTTGCTGGGCCCGATGTGTTTAAAGAGGAGGCGAGCATGTGAACCCCGTACATCTGCACCAGAGATTTATTCTCGGGCACGGGGACAAACGGGACGCTGCTTCTGGATCCTGCTGGGGATCTGTTAAATCCGTTTGCCATTTGTCCGCGCTAATGGCACGACGTTCTCCTGCCAATGAACATTCAAAGCTATCAGTTTTAGATTTTATGCAAAGGAACAATTAGCTTGCATGCATCTTTGTCATTTTTTTTTTTTTTTTCACCCCCCCCTCCTTTATTTTTCATTTGAAAGCTGCTAGCAAACTCCCCGCCGGTGATAATAATGTGGGTTTCGGGGTGTTTGTCAGCAGTGGAGAATATTCTGCCCTGTTTTGTTTACTCAGGGCTGCTAGAAGCGTTAGTTAATGGCTGACTAATTAAATAAAGCGGAGATAAAGGGAATCTGACCTGGGCCAGGACAGGGCTGAGGAATGTGCATAGCTCTGGTGGAGGCGAGTATCTAGCCAAGAGGGGGAACGTGGGGGAGATGTTAACCCGCTCTTAACTCCTCCTTCCTTCTGCAGAGAGCCCCATCCCGCCACCGAGAGCTCCCCCAGGCTCGGCTCTGCCCCCCTGCCCCTTTGCGCTGCCTGGTTTCCCCCTGCCAGCCCCAAAAGGATAGGTTTTTTGGTGAAGCCAAGGTAGATTTGGAGGCTGATTAGCTTAACCAGAAGTGTCCCGAGGCACTTGGATGCTCCAACCTCCGGCGTGCGGGTTGACGTGTATCCTCCAGGTGTATTTTCCTTAGACTTCCCTGCAGTTAAACGCAAAGCGAGCGGGTTTTTAAGCGTCCTGCTCAAAGTTTAGCAATCATCTCCCAAAACCGGGAGACCCTTTGCCATCCAGAAACGGGACTTCTGTCCACGCGGCGATTCTCCGCAAAGGCTCTTGCCCGCGAGGAAAGATCCCGTGCGAAGGGAAGCGGTGTTTGGGAGCAACGGGTGAAAGCAGTGGCCAGCCTTGGTTTTCCTTTCGGGCACAATCCTGCCGTGGGGATGGTGTGAAACGCCCGTTCCTCCCCAAAACGGCAGCGGTCTGCCTGGGCTAGAAGCTCCAGGAAGCCGGCATGATGCTCGCTGCGGAGGTAAAAGAATAAACCGAACAAAAGCACCCACCCCGGGGTGACTTCCTAGCTGTAAGGGTCTGCAAGGGGAAGTTTTTCTGCCTCAGGAACCCCATAAACCTGCTGGCTGCGCGCTCGCACCTTCGTTTACTCCTAATTAATGTGTTTGCCCATTGCACAGCGTGCAGTTCAGGATTTGACCCAGCCCAAGCCAGCACCAGGTTGTGCTGCAGACAGCCGGCGAGCGGCTGTGTCACACCCCCGAGGGGAGCAGGTAAAGTGGGGGGGGTCGCAAATGTATGGGTTTCCCCCTGTTTTTTAAAGGGAGACCAGGGCAGAAGTAGAGGCATCCAAGCAGAGAAAAACTTTTCCGAACGGATCGGGAATTTATTCAGAAAAATCTCAAAGATTGGGAAGGCTGGAGAGGAGGGGGAGCGCCTCTGTTGGATGCCTTGGACGCAGCGGGATGCCGGAGCACCGGACTTGGGATTTCCTGCGTGGAGAAAGGGATTGTCTTGGGAGTTGTTGAGTTTCGCACCGGGCAGCCTGTCGGAAACAGATTCAGGAGGCTAAAATGGAAGGAAACGGCCACAATCGCCACCCGAAGGCAGTGAAAGTGGGAAAAAAACGTCTCCGCCCCGCGGCAGCCCCGACTCTGCCGCTCTCCCCGCGCCCGCTGCAGGATTTCAGCGTTCTCCCCATGTGCCCCAGGATCGTCCCCCTTCTGCGGGATGGGGAACAGTGCGTGTGGTGCTGGGGGTGTCACCCAGCTTCCTTGAGGATTCAGCCTCTCGGCTCGACTGACTTCAGTCCCCTTTTCAGATTTTGTCAGCTTGCTTCCAGCCCGGTCCTGGGCACCGGTCGCCGTGAAACCAGCCCCCTGGGGTTAGGCACAAACGAAAGGTCACGCCGGAATCGCATCCCGCCGGCTGCAGCGTCGCCCCAAAGTCCTCCCAGCGAGCTCCTTTTGGGCTTGGGCACCGCAGGATGGCACCGCTCCTTCCGAAACTGCAGAAATGAGGGAGTTAAATAAACAAACGAACCTTAAATAGTGGCCTAAAATGCCAGGCTCCCTCCGGTTTGTTTTACTCGGCTGCCTCCACGTCCCCGATCCCGTGTGGGAGGGGTGTGCTTCCTCCCAGCTGCCTGCTTTTACTAACAAACAAATAAAAACTGGTTTTTCCTCTGCTGACGGGCTTTTGCCAGAGAGACGGCAGGGCAGGAGCTGGACGTGGCGAGAGGCTCATGCCGCCGTGCCTTGGTGAGCTCACCCCCACGGTGGCATTCCCTTGACACTAGTGCTTTATGTCCCCGGAAAGAGGGGGGATTCTTCTGGTGCTTTTTTTGACGTTTTAAAAGCCCAAGCTGCTTCTCAAGTGAAAGCGCTTGACCTGCTTGTGGTTTCGGGCAAGTTGAAGGTGGGTTAATTTGCAGCTTTGTCCAACTTTTCACCCACGGGGTCGCACCCAAGGTTGGTGTACCAGACACCAGGGTTCCCGCTCGAGCAAGAGCCTGGTTCAAATCGATATCTGACCCCCCCCGGCAATCGCAGCACCTCCCGGACTCGCCAAGCAGCGGCTGTGAGCCGAGCTCTGTCATCCGCCGAGCCCAGACCCAGCCGGTGGTTACGGGGATCAGCTGGATTTGGCAAACCGCTGGCGACTTGGCAGCTCTCGGTGCCGCTGCCGGCGGGCGGGTGCCGGCATCGCTGGCGGTAGCCGGAACGCGCGCCGAGGTGGAAATACCCGGTGCTACCGGTCCTTCCAGGCTGGGGGGCGAGGGCCTTTCGGCAAGGGGGACGCTTGCCACACTCCCCCCTCGACCTGCGCCCGCTGCACCGACCACCGGGACCCCACGTGTGCGGGGCTGGAGCCAGGGGTCGCTCAGCATGTGTCTAATAGGGGAAAAAAAAAAAAAAAAAAAAAATCAGAGTTGGAGGTCATTAAGCTGCTTTGGGAGCATTCTGAGTCACTGATCTTTCCCCTCCCCTCACACTGGTGTTTAATAGGGTCCAACAGCTCCAACCTGTTTCTCTCCAGCTCTTGTCCCACTCAGGCTATCGGCCCCAGCCACGATAAACGAGAGCAAGGGCTCTCTCTCAAGCACGCTCGCATTAGCCTGGGTGTGGTGGTATCCATCTAAAGCTTGATTTACATTTTTTTTTTTTTTTTTTTTTGTCCTACCCCAACCCAGAAATTTCTTCCTTTCCCCTCCCACTCCCAGGTCAGCAGGAGCAGGAACGCGCCTGCTGGAGATCCGCGCCGACTTCCAGCATCTGCTCCGCTGCAGAAACTGTTGAAACAATTCAAAAAAACAACCTGAAATTGTTGATTTAGGGGAGGCTTGCCAGCGCTCCGGGCTCCCGCTGAGCAGGATCGATGTGTACCTTTGAGCTTGGAAGGATGCGGGCATTTGGACAGTGTAAACAAGCCTCTATTGTGCCTGACTGCGGGTGTTTACACCAGGAAAATGGGCGTCGGGATCCACCCTGGGGCCAGGCTTCCTCCACAGCCCCGGCTCTTCATCCTGGGAGACCGAGCCGTGGTCAGGGGTAGTCTCAGATATGCCGAAAGTGAACCAAAACTTGTAAATAAACGAGCAAAACTGGCTACATCGGGTGGCTTTGTCTTTGCATCCCGCAAAGGGAAAGCGTGTAACTTGTCAGGTTAAACTGAACTGGGTTTGAATTTAATGCTGGAAACGTGCTGGCCGTGCTGCTAAGTTTAGTTTCAGCAGCCTTGACTCGTATTTTAGGCTCCTCGACCTGTATTTAAGCGCCTGAGTAAACAGTCTGTTCTTGCTCAGGCTGAGCATCTGCGTGCCCAGTTTTTTGCAGGTCAGGCTGTTTTTCTTGCCGGTTTATTCATCTTGTAACTCAAAACGCTGCCTTAAAACCACACTTAAACGCGGTTTCAAGTGACACCCTTTAGGTAAAAGGCTTCAGGGATGGTGTTAGTCATCCACGTCCAGAGAAATGACCTTTTCCCGGGTGTCGCTGGGCTGCCCGGGCTTGCATTCACTGCTGAGTTGCTTTTCCTCGTCTCACCTTGCGGTTTTTTGTTTTGTTTCGTGTTTTGGTTTCTTTTTTTTTTTTTTAAATCTTCTAGCTTTTAATTGTGGGAGGCTTTTTGCTTAGGTTTTGTATTTAGGAGCGTTACATCAAAGGGAAGAGGGACCACAGCAAAATGTCTGCGAGACCGGGGCTCCCAAAACGTCCCTTCTCCTGGAAGAAAAACAAACCCCGTGCGAGTCACGCTGGGGAATAGGAGAAGACAAGCGGAAAGAAGCAGGATTATCCCAGAGGGGAGAAGAACCCCCCCGTCCTGCCACCTCTTTATGGCTTCAGGAAGACAACCAGGGCTGTTGTGGAGAGCAGAGGGACATCTCTGAGTGTCTCGTGGCCCGGCGCGTCGCATGAGCTGCCGAATCCCCGGCAGCAGCGTTATCTCACCTCTGGGACGGGTGAAAGCGCGGCGGTTGCGGTGGAAGGAAGCAGAGTCCAGCCCTAGCTGGGCTTGGAAATGCCTTTGCAGTGAGGACAGGCGTTAGTAAGTAATCCAAGCCTGCACTGTCCCGTGATTCACGGAGGCGGCGGCGCTTCCCAGGGCTGAGCTGGGTCGCGTGGCCCCCGCGGAGGCTCCGAGGAAACTTGCTGCTGGTTCGGTGTCCCACCAAAAGCACCCCCCAGCCCCCTCCAACCCCTCTCAGAGAGCTGCTGCGCGCCGCCGGCTTTCCCCTGATGGAAAACTTCGCAGGATCAGTCACCGGGGACCAAAACAGAACCTCCGTCTGGAAGACATAAACCGAAGTCGTTCCGCAAGGCCTGTGAATACCGCTGACCCTGTCTTGGCAACACGTCCCCACGTGCTTGAGAAAACCCCTTTAACTGGGGAGATTTTGCTCCCGGCCAGGCACCGCTGGGCTGGGGCAGACCTCCGCGCCGCTCCCCATCCAACCAGTTCCCCATCACGCCGGGGCAGCTGGTGCTGGGGAGCCGGGAGGAGGCACTGGAAGGGGTTGCTTTGGGTCCGTCCGCCGCCGGCCAACGAGCCCAGAGGAGTGTGGGGTCAGTGCTTTACCCATCAGTGTCTGTTCAGTGTTTAACTGCAGTATAATGACAAATATCTGTGCGGCCAGGCGGGTGTTTTCTGCCCCGAGGAGGCTGAGGTGTGTGGCTTGAAGCCCTTGGCGGGGGCAGCTGCCAAACCCCGAACCAGCGCAGGAGTAATTGCAGTGGTGCAAAACGCTTGGGAGATCAGCCCTAAATCCCTGGGTGCTGGCACGCAGCGTGTCGGGGGAAGCTGTTCCTGAAAAAGCTGGGAAGGAAAAAGCCGAGGCAACTGCCCACCTGACGAAGAGGGACAGCGGGTTGAAGGAGCTGAAGCTCGTGTGGGATCATGTCGTGCGCTGGGCAGGCGGGCAGCCCGGAGCCCTGAAAGCTTCCCTCGGCTGCCCTGGTTTGCAATCCCTGCCTTCGCAGTAAAAAAATAAAGGCAGGAGGGGCCGGCAAATGCATCTTCAAACACGCAGCGAAAAAAATGAGGGGTAAGCAGGACCTGGGGCGGGGTGGGGGGGGGGGAGAACACAAGCTCAGCTGCGAGGTCGGGTGGGCTGTTAAAACCCGCCGGGACGGGGAGCAGCCTAACGAAGCGTGGGGGCTTGCCGTCGTCACTCAAGGTGTTTCCTTTTTGGCACACGTGCGGCAAGTAATTATTTTCCCAGAGAGCAAGGTCAGTTCCTAAAGAAGGGGCTGTTCGTTTTTCAGCTCACTGAGGTCCCCGGAGCGCTGCCCGCCTCTCCATCCCGCTCCAGGCTTCATTCCTGTCCCTCTTCTTTGCCCCCCCCCCCCCCCCCCCCCCCAGGTCTTCTAGCCGGCCTTCACCATGTTCAGCAAAAAGAAGAAACGCATCGAGATCTCTGCTCCCTCCAACTTCGAGCACCGCGTCCACACCGGCTACGACCAGCAAGAGCAGAAATTCACGGGGCTGCCGCGGCAATGGCAGGGCATCATCGAGGAGTCGGCCAAGCGCCCCAAGCCGCTGGTGGACCCCGTCTGCATCACCACCATTCAGCATGGCTCGCAGAAGGTAGGCAGCTCTGCCAGCGTGGCCTCTGCCCTCTCGGGGAGGGCTGGTGATGCTGCTTTTGGGGCCAGAAAGCCAGGCTGGGGGTTCGTTTGGGCTCCGTGCCCTCTCCCCGGGGTGTCGCGGAGCAGGTAAGGCGGCAGTCCGGTCTCTAACCCGTGGAGGTGGCATCGGCGTCCCCACGGCCACCCGCTCGCCCCTTCCCTGCTGTGTGGGACAGGGACCCCACAGCTGCCGCCCGCACGGCGTGAAAACCTCTCCCGCGTCCTCCCGGCAGCTGGAAAAAAACCCGCACTGCAAGAAAACACCAGGGAAACGGTGTCTCTTCCTTCCCATCTCATCCCCTCCCCATCCCTGTGTTTCCCCAAGCCGCCATTATGTTGTTTTTTTAAAGTCTGGCTTGTCTGCTCCCTTCGGTCGAGGACACCCACGCCACCCCCCCCCCCACCCCAGCTCTGCCATTCCCACACCTCCACCCCAATCAAAGTCCCCGGCAGTGGCCGCGGTGCGACCGGCGTGCCCAGCGTTCCTGCTGGCTCGGCTGGTTTGCTTGGGACAATGGGGTGGCTCCAGCCGCTGTGAGTAACGCCGGCTGCGGCCCAGCCGGGCAATTCCGCTGACCCGAAAAGATGCCGAAACCGGTGGGGCCCCCCGGTGCTGCCAAACCCCGTGGCTCGGGGCCGGGAGCCACTGCGTCCCGCGCGGCCGGGGTTTGTTGCGGAGATCCAGGCTCTGCTCGCCTGTGGAGGAAATAACCGGCTCCCCGAGGCAGTGGGAGGAGGAGGAGGAGGAAGAGGAGGGGATATAAATAGCCGAGGACGGCAGGCTGCGCTCGCTCACCCTGCGTGGAGACGCTTGCTGCAGAGGAAGGCATCCTCCTCTTCGGAGGAAGGCGAGAGGCCTCGGGGCCGAGGCTGGGGCGGCTCCCACTCTCCCCTCACCTCTTGCTGCGTGGTCCTGCCCTCCGAGGCTCAAATCCACAAGGGTGCAGGTCCCTTCCCGAGACACGTCCCTCCCAACCCCAGCCAGTCTGATACTGGGAGCCGGGGGAACCCCCACCCTACGCAGCCCAGAGCTCCCCGGTTCAGGTGTCCCACCCAGCTGGGACCTGCCTCCCGGCATCGGGCTTCGATTTTCCCTGCTCTGCTCTTCCCCTTTGCCCCGAGGCAGCATTCAGGACGGGGGGCTCGTTAACCTTTGGCTAAACGAACCAGGTCTGTCCTCATCTCCAGCATCTCCTCTCCCTCCTCCACGGGCCGATGACACCGAGGGGAGGAGGGACCAGTGCCTGGCCCAGAGCTTTGCTGGGGCTGGGCCCCAGCCGGGAGCAAAACCTGCTGTGTCTGCACAGTTGCCCATAACAGCGTTTTGGGGGGGCAGATAGAGCCCACCGGGCGCGAGCCGGGGGACAAGGCGTTGCCCCCAGCCCCCCCAGCCCTTTCCCTGTGAGCCCCCCCCCCCGAGCAGGGCTGGGTCTGGCCAAAGGCTTCTCGGGCGTGCGGTGCCTCTTGGGGCGCTTGGCCGGTCGGGGAGGAGAGGCACGAAGCCAGATCCCGCTCCCCGAGGGAGCACCCTGGGGTTTTGGTACCTAGAAACCTCCCAGTGAGGCGCAGGGCTGGTGGGGAAAGGCCGAGCCCCCTCCCCAGCCTCCAACATCCTCGCCCGTGGGGCTGCGCGGCCCCACCGGGCTCAGCCACCTCCAGCCACTCGACTGGACCAAGGCGGCAGTGACACCAGCCGCGGAGACCCCATCCCCTCCCCCCCGTCCCCTCTGTGTCAGCCGTGTCCCCGTCACCACCAGGCATTTCATTTTCATTTTTTTTATTATTTTCTTCCCTTTTTTTTTTTTTTATTTTGTTTCTTCTGTTTTTTTTTTTTTTTTTTTATTTTTGTTCTGTTCGTGCTTTGTGTTCCCGTCCGCCTCCCGTCCCACGTCCTGCTCAAAGACCATCGTGCGGGGCAGCAAAGCCGCCAAGGACGGCTCCCTGACCTGGCTGCTGGACGAGTTTGAGAACATGTCCGTGTCCCGTTCCAATTCTCTGCGCAGGGACAGCCCCCCCTTCCCGCCCCGCCGCGACCAGCTCTACCAGGAGAACGGCCTCTCCGAGGGCCCGGCCGCTGCCCGGCCGCACGAGGATGCCGGCAGGAGCAAGGAGAAGAGCCGTCACGGGGCCAGGAGCGAGCTAGAGCAGGGCAAGGAGAGACCCCGGGAGAGGGAGGACCAGCGCGCCCACCACCACCACCACCACCACCACCACCACCAGCCCCGCGGGCAGGAACCCGGCCCCAAACCCGCTCCCCCCGCCGGCGGCCGCCCGCCCCCCCCCGAGTACCCCAAAACCCCCGCCGAGCGGGACGGCTGGCGGGATTACCCCGCCGACAGGGACTACAGCGAGCCGGCCGACCGGGTGGTGCGGCGGGAGCGCCCCGAGCCTTCCGACAAGCGCCCCAAATCCACCTACGCCGGCGAGAGCAGCCCGCAATCCCCCCGGGACAAACGCCCGCTCTCCGGGCCCAATATCCGGACTCCCAACATCCCCGTCTCCGAAGGGGTGATGAAGACGGCTCAGCAGACGGGACGGCCTTTTAATACCTACCCCCGGGCTGAGACCGACCCCGGCAGGGGCGCGGGTCCACAGGTAAAGGTTCAAGATTCCCCACTCCCCCCCCCCCGCTGCTCCCCTCCGCTCCGACCGGATCCGCTTGGCAGCGACCTCTCCTTCCCTGGCCGCGCAGCCCCGGGGGGAGCTTTTCCTCGCTCTGCCTCCTAGAAAAGCAGCCTCTCTCCTCCGCTTCCTAAGCGAGCGCCAGCTCCCGCGCTCCGATTAAGAAGACGCCGCGCTTTCCTCCCCGGTGCCGCGCCGGCACCGGCGGCCCCGTCCTTCTCTCCGAAGCAGCCGCCGGCTCCTCTCCCCCTTTTCCTCGCTCCTTCCAAGCCTGTCTAGCTCAAACCTCTCCTTCGGCAGCGCCCGGCGCCTCTGCCGCTCACGGGGGTCGCCTCCCGGCCTTTTGGGGACAGCGGAAAAACCCCGGCTCCGGCCACGCGCTTCCCCCTGGGGTTCGGGTGCCTGACGTCCCTCCCCTCCCGTCTCCTTGCAGGCAGAGCACCGGCCGGGACGGCTGCAGGAGGTGGCATCCAACGGGCCGGTGAGCGGCGGCGGCGGCGCCGGCTCCTCCCGAGCCCACCCGCCCGGCCCGCCGCGTTCCAAACCCGCCGAGCCGCCCCATCCCAACCTCACCCCTCACGCCTCGGACCCCCACCTCGCCCGCCAGCCGCCCCCCGGCCACCCGCCGCCGCCCCCGCCGCCCTCGGCGGGGCCGCAGCAGCCCCGCTCGCCCCAACGGGAGCCCCAGCGCGTCTCCCACGAGCAATTCCGGGCGGCCCTGCAGATGGTGGTGGATCCCGGAGACCCCCGCACCTACTTGGACAACTTCATCAAGATCGGCGAGGGCTCCACCGGCATCGTCTGCATCGCCACCGTCAAGAGCACCGGCAAGCTGGTGGCGGTGAAGAAGATGGACCTGCGCAAGCAGCAGCGGCGCGAGCTGCTCTTTAATGAGGTGAGGCAGAGCCGGGGGGGCACCTCGGGGACCTGCTTTTGGGTGTCGCTTGCCGTGGAGGAGGTGGGGGGGGGGGGGGGTGCTCAGGCCGCGCTCTCCCCTTGGGCAGGTGGTGATCATGAGGGACTACCAGCACGAGAACGTGGTGGAGATGTACAACAGCTACCTGGTGGGCGACGAGCTCTGGGTGGTGATGGAGTTCTTGGAGGGCGGCGCCTTGACCGACATCGTCACCCACACCAGGTACGTCCCCGGGGACCCCCCCCCCGGCCCCCCCCCCCCCCCCCCCACCCGGCGTGTCCCCAACGCCGCCTCGGGGCGCCCGGTTCTCGCCTCCCATCCTCCTCCCTTGTCTCGTAGGATGAACGAGGAGCAGATCGCCGCCGTCTGCTTGGCCGTCCTGAAGGCCCTCTCCGTCCTCCACGCGCAGGGCGTCATCCACCGCGACATCAAGAGCGACTCCATCCTCCTCACGCACGACGGCAGGGTGAGCGCCGCGGCGGGGGGAGGCAGGGGAGGAGCCCCCCCCCCCCCCAACCCCCCCTCAGCCCTCCGAAACGCGGCGGCGGCCCTTCTCACCAGCCCCCCCCTTCCCCGGCTCTTTAGGTGAAACTCTCCGATTTTGGGTTTTGCGCCCAAGTGAACAAGGAGGTGCCGCGACGGAAGTCGCTGGTGGGGACCCCGTACTGGATGGCGCCGGAGCTCATCTCCCGCCTGCCCTACGGCCCAGAGGTGAGCCCGCCGCGGGTTTGGGGGCACACAGTGGCTTCCCCCCTGCCCCCCCCCCCCCCTCAGTTACCCCCCTGGCTTTGCCGTGTGTGTGTGTCCCCCCCCCCCCCAGGTGGATATCTGGTCCCTGGGCGTGATGGTTATCGAGATGGTCGACGGGGAGCCGCCCTATTTTAACGAGCCGCCCTTAAAGGCCATGAAGATGATCCGCGACAATCTGCCCCCCAAGCTTAAAAACGTGCACAAGGTAAAGCGGGGAGCGACGGGGCGTCTTGGGAAGTGGGGGGGTGGGGGGGGGGGGGAAGGGGGCAAAAAAAAAAAAAAAAAAAGCAAACCCTCCGGGGCCGTGTCCACCTCCCGCCCCGGGCGGGACGTCGCTGACGGTCGCCCTGCTCCCTCCCCGCAGGTTTCGCCTTCCCTCAAAGGTTTTCTCGACCGCATGCTGGTGCGGGACCCGGTGCAGCGGGCCACCGCCAACGAACTCTTGAAGCACCCCTTCCTGGGCAAAGCGGGGCCCCCCTCTTGCATCGTCCCCCTCATGCGCCAAAACCGCATGCGGTGAGGAGCCGGCGGCCGCCCCGGCGCCCTCCTCCCCCCTCGCCGCCTCGGAACTGGATTTGTGACTGTGCCACTACTGTTGGGGCGCTGGCAAGGGGGGGGGGGGGGGGAACAGGGAGCCGGGGGCGGGGTGGGGGGGGGTGGGGGTCCTGTCCCGTCGTGTCGCCCCCTCCCTGCACCGTACTACTGAGCCGGGGAGCGGCCGGGGAGGGGGCACGGCTCGGTATTAACGACTCACCGACATTCGGCGCGGGTCCACCGTCCCGGTGTGCCCCCCCTCCCCTTCCCCGCTTCCCGGCAGAGATTTGGGGCTGGGGGCTTATCCCACCCCGGACCCGGTGTCGCCCCCACCCTGGGGAGCCGTTTGGGGCATCTCCCCCTTTTCTTTTTCTTTTAAATCCCCTTTTTTTTTTTTTATCCTCATCCAGCCCCAGGGTCGGGCCACCACCTGCATCTCCACCGGGGGGGGACACACACACACACACGTGTCCCCAACACTACGGCCCCGCGGCCACACTACTGATTTGGGGTCCTTACCGCCCCCCCCCCCCCTTCCAAACACGTTTTTTGTTCCTTTTGGGGTTTTTTTGTTTTGTTTTGTTTTGTTTTTTTCCCTCCCCTTTTGTTTTTTAACAAAGCTATTTATATTGTCGTTTTGTAACGCTGCGGTATGGGGGGGGCCCCGGGGCCGGCACGGGGACCCCCGGAGATTACACGTGTCCTTTTGGAGACAGCTGTGTCCCATGTCATTTCTTTGGGGGGGGGGGGGGGGGGCGGGAGGGGGCTGTGCAGTGCATCTAGGGTCACGCATGTTTGCGCACATGTATGTGCCCACATACACGTGATGCGTGTGCAGGCGAGGAACACGCGCATGTCTGCCCAGGGCTGAGCGTGTGGGAACCTGCCCCCCTCCCGGGTCCTGTCCCCCCTCCCCAGGTCCCTGCTTGGGGGAGGAGGGGGGTCATGGAGACCCCTGTTCCCCCTGCCCAAAGCTGGGGGGGCTGCTGCCCCCCCCACCCCTCTTCCCCCCAATAAAGCACCAGCGAGGCGGGAGCTGCTGCGGCCTCCAGGCTTTATTGGCTGCACTGGGAGCTGTGCGATGTGATGGGGGGGGGGGGGCGGAGCGAGGGGGTGGCACTGCCACGTCAACACGTGTCAGCCTACATCTGGCACTCTTGACCCATGGGGACTCACGGTGACCTGCGTGGACTCACGTTGACTCGTCTTGGCCCGCCTTGGCTCGCGTTGGCTCACCTTGACACGCGTTGGCTCACCTTGACGTGTGTTGGCTCGCCTTGACACGCGTTGGCTCACCTTGACGTGTGTTGGCTCGCCTCGACGTGTGTTGGCTCGCCTTGACACGCGTTGGCTCACCTTGACGTGTGTTGGCTCGCCTTGACACGCGTTGGCTCACCTTGACGTGTGTTGGCTTGCCTCGACGTGTGTTGGCTCGCCTTGACACGCGTTGGCTCGCCTTGGCGCACGTTGGTTTGTCTTGGCCCACGTTGACCCATCTGGACTCGTCTTGGCCGAGGTTGACCCACGTTTGACCACGCTGGCTCGTATTGACTTGACGTTGATTTGTCTTGACGCGCGTTGACTTGCATTGACTCACGTTGGCTTGTCTTGGCCCACATAGACTTGCGTTGACTCACGTTGACTTGTCTTGGCCCCCGTTGACTCACATTGACTCCTCTTGGCCCGTGTTGACTCGCATTGGCCCGCGATGACTGGCGTTGCCCCGCGCCGCCCCGCGCCGCCCGCCTCACTTGCACTTGCAGTAGTAACCCCTGATGGCATCGTTCCAATTGCCGAAGAGACCCCGCCGCACCTCCTGCAGCCGCGGCACCGCGCCGGTCCCGAAAGTCCGGCTCTTTCCCTTCTTACCGGCCCGAGACCAGACGGTCAGCTCGCATCGGGTGCCCACCACCAAGGAGGAGACGCGGGCGGCCCAGTTGTGGGGCATGTAGGGGTCGTCGGCGCCGGGTTCCACCACCAGCACGGGCCCCTCGCAGCACTGGTCGTAGTAGGGGCTGTTGTCGGCGTAGAGCTGGGCGCAGATGCGGGTGCCGTTGGCCGTCCGCAGGTCGGAGGGGGCCGGGCACTGCGCCCCGGCCCCCGCCAGCGCCGCCACCACCAGCACCGCCACCACCAGCGCCGCCATCGCCACCCCCCCCCGGCCGCGCCCAGTGCCGCCCAAGATATACCCGGGACCAAGGACGGGGGGTGGGGGTGGCACCCAAATAACCGGGCCTCCCCCTTCGCTGGGAAAGGACCCAGGTGTCAGAGCCTGGGATCCCCCACCCCCTGGGGAGGGGACACAGGTGCCCGGGACCTTCCCCCCCCCCACCCCTGAGAAGGGACCCAGGTGTGTGTGTGTGTCCCACCCCTGAGAGGGGTCCCAGGTGTGTGTCCCCCCCACCCCTGAGAGGGGTCCCAGGTGTGTGTCCCCCCCACCCCTGAGAGGGGTCCCAGGTGTGTGTCCCCCCCACCCCTGAGAGGGGACCCAGGTGTGTGTCCCCCCCACCCCTGAGAGGGGACCCAGGTGTGTCCCCCACCCTTGAGAGGGGACCCAGGTGTGTGTCCCCCCCACCCCTGAGAGGGGACCCAGGTGTGTGTGTCCCCCACCCCTGAGAGGGGACCCAGGTGTGTCCCCCACCCCTGAGAGGGGACCCAGGTGTGTGTGTCCCCCACCCCTAAAAGGGAACCCAGGGGTGTGTGTCCCCCACCCCTGAGAGAGGACCCAGGTGTGTCCCCCACCCTTGAGAGGGGACCCAGGTGTGTGTGTGTGTGCGTGTGTGTGTGTGTGTGTGTGTGTGTGTCCCGAGAGGGGACCCAGGTGTGTGTGTCCCCCCCCCACCCCTGAGAGGGGACCCAGGTGTGTGTGTGTCCCCCACCCCTAAAAGGGGACCCAGGTGTGTGTCCCCCCCACCCCTAAAAGGGGACCCAGGTGTGTGTGTGTCCCCCCCACCCCTGAGAGGGGACCCAGGGGTGTGTGTGTCCCCCACCCCTGAGAGTGGACCCAGGTGTGTGTGTGTCCCCCACACCCCTGAGAGGGGACCCAGGTGTCGTCCGCCCCCCCCACCACGTGAAAAGACCCAGGTGTCCTCCCCCTCCCCCCCCATGACCTCGGCTGTGGCCTTGGGGAAACTGAGGCACAGAGCTGGGGCAAGGCCAGGCTGAGGCCCCAGCTGTCCTGTATGCAAATTGGGGGGGGGTGGGGGTGTAATTAGCTCGGGGGGGTGGTGGTAATTAGCAGAACCCTGGGGGCGGGGGTGTGTGTGCAAGCTCCACCCCTTGTTTGCATGTTAATGAGCCAAAGCCACGCCCTTGTCATGGCGCCGGCGGTCTCCCGGCAACTGCATCCCCCCCCCATCCTGGCAACGGTATCCTAGCAACCGCGGGGGGGGGGGGCATAATTACCCTGTCCCTCATTAGCATAGCTCCACCCCCCACCCCTTCAGCCAATGTGGCCACGGTGCCCACCTTGTTAGCCTGCTCATTAGCATACTAATGAGTTCATTTGCATGCAGGGAGCTGCCTCTTATAGGGGCTTCTTGGGGGTCTCGTATGAGGCTGGGGCTCCCCGGACTCCCCCAGTGAGTGGGACCTCCCCAGCCCCCCCCACACAGAGGGGGGCCCCCCCATAGACAAACGAGACCCCCCCGGCCCCCCCAAACAGAGGGGGCCCCCCCCAAACAGAGGGGGCCCCCCCAAACAGGAGGGGCTCCCCCACAGACAGAAGGGCCCCCCCGGCCCCCCCCAAACAGAGGGGGCCCCCCCCACAGACAGAGAGGCCCCCCCCCCGCCCCCCCCCAAACAGAGGGGGACCCCCTCACAGACAGAGGAGACCCCCCCGGCCCCCCCCAAACAGAGGGGGACCCCCTCACAGACAGAGGAGACCCCCCCGGCCCCCCCCAAACAGAGGGGACCCCCTCACAGACAGAGGAGACCCCCCCGCCCCCCCCCCAAACAGAGGGCCCCCACACACACAGAGACCCCCCCCCGGCCCCCCCAAACAGAGGGGACCCCCCCAGGCCCCCCCACAGACAGAGCGGCTCCCCCTCCTCTTCACACACAAAAGGTTTAATCGCCCCGGGCGGGGGGGGCACAGGTTTTTAATGTAAAAACTTGTGTTAAACACTGCAGCGGGCCGGGGGGGGGGGGCCCGGGGGGGGGCGGCTGGTGGGTGGGAAGGGGGGCAAGTAGGGCTGGGGGGGGGAGGGGGCAGATTGGGGGAGGTACGGGGCAAACGGGGGGTGACGGGGCGGGGGGGGGGAAATGGGGCGGGGGGGGGGGAAGGGGGGATTATCCAGACCAGCCAGATAGGAGGCCCCGGGCCGAGGCGGGGGGGGGGGGGACACGGGGGGGGGGACACACACGGGGGACACCCGGGTATCCGTTCCCCCCCCCCCCCCCCCCGGGAGGGCTGGGTTGGGGGGGGGGGCTGCGGTTCTCGTGTCATCTGTGCAGACATGTCAGTGGCGTGTGCGGGGCCCCCCCCCCGCCACCAGCCCGGCCGAAGGCACCGCGGCGGGGGGGGGGGGGGGGGGGGGGGGGAGGCGCAGGCCGGGGGGGTGGCACATGCGCACACGCGTGTTCGGGGCGGGGGGGGGCACGCACACACGTGTTCGGGGGGGGGGGGGGGTGTGCGCAGAAGTCCCGGCGTACGCGTTCCTCCCCCCACCCCCGCCCCGTCAGGGCGCACACACACACGTGTGTCGTGGTGCCCACGCGTGTCACGGTGCCCACGCGTGTCCCAGGGGTGCCCGCGTGGGTGCCAGGTAGGTACTGGGTTGCATATGGGTGCCCCCGAAGTGGGGGGGGGGCGGGGGGGCACATGGATGCCAATGGGTGCCCGGGGAGGCACATGGGTGCCCGCAGGGACCTCAAGGAGCACCCAGGGGTGGGTGCAGGCACCCAGTGGCAGCCGCAACCACCTGGGGGGGGGGGGGGGGGAATGGGAGGGTTGGGTGGGGGGCCCTGCAGCACCCAGGGGTGCTGGGGCTGCATCTGAGCAGCCATGGCTGCGTGGGGGCACCCACGGGGGCACCAGGCACCCCAGGGGTGCGATCGGGCACCCAGGAGCACCCAAGGATGTATTTGGGCACCCAAGGCTGCTGCATACAAGCACCCAAGGGTGCACAGGAGCACCCAACGCTGTGTTTGGGCACCCAAGGGTGCTGCGTTCAGGCACCCAGCAGCACCCAAGGGTGTATTTGGGAACCCAAGGGTGCTGTGTTCAGGCACCCAAGGGTGCGTAGGAGCACCCCAGGCTGTATTTGGGCACCCGAGGAGGTGCAGGAGCACCCAAGGGTGCTGCGTTCAGGCACCCAGGAGCACCCCAGGCTGTATTTGGGCACCCAAGGAGGTGCAGGAGCACCCAAGGGTGCTGTGTTCCAGCACCCAGGAGCACCCCAGGCTGTATTTGGGCACCCGAGGAGGTGCAGGAGCACCCAAGGGTGCTGCGTTCAGGCACCCAGGAGCACCCCAGGCTGTATTTGGGCACCCAAGGAGGTGCAGGAGCACCCAAGGGTGCTGTGTTCCAGCACCCAGGAGCACCCCAGGCTGTATTTGGGCACCCGAGGAGGTGCAGGAGCACCCAAGGGTTCTGCTTTCAGGCACCCAGGAGCACCCAACGCTGTATTTGGGCACCTGGGGGTGTTCAGGAGCACCCAAGGGTGCTGTGTTCAGGCACCCAGGAGCACCCCAGGCTGTATTTGGGCACCCGAGGAGGTGCAGGAGCACCCAAGGGTTCTGTGTTCAGGCACCCAGGAGCACCCAAGGGTGTATTTGGGCACCTGGGGGTCCGCAGGAGCACCCAACGCTGCGTTTGGGCACCCGGGGGTGCACGTGAGCACCCAGGGGCGCAGGGGGATGCCGAGGCCCCGGGGCTGCCCCCGCGCACCCTGGGGTGCTGCCCACCCCCCACGCCCGCCCCCGCACCCCCACCGCTCCCCCCCACCCACCCCCCCCACCCTAGACGGTGCTCTCGAGCATCCAGTGGGTGCTGCCGAAAGAGGGGCGCAGGGGGGGGGCCGCGTCGGGCAGGTCGAGGCGCGGCAGCGAGCCGTGGCGCCGAGTCCGTGCGCGCCGCGGGTAGCTGTGGCTGGGGAAGAGCTCCCGCGCCCCGCCCCCCGCAGCACCCATGGGTGCTGGGGGTGGGAGGGTGGCGGGGGGCGGCGGCGGCGGCTCCGGCTCGGGGGGTCTGTGGGTGCCGTTGGTCTGGGAGCAGACGCTGGCGACGGCGGCGGGGGGGCGGCGGGCGGCCGCCGCCTTGTAGCGGGCGGTGAGGATGAGGATGAAGACGAGGACGGAGGCGGCGATGGCGGCGCCGATGACGATGATGACGGTGCCCCCCAAGAAGTGGGGCCGGGGGAGGGCGGCGCAGCCGGGGGCCCCCCCGGCCGTGGCGAAGCGGACGCAGCCGAGGGCGCGGGCGGTGGGCAGCGCCGTCGTCCCCTCGGCGTAGAGCGCCGAGACGCAGAGGTCGTACTCGCGCCCCGCGGCCAGGTCCCGCAGCACGAAGCTCCGGCTGGAGGGTGGCAGCAGCCTGGGGGGGGGGGGCACGGGGGGGGGGGTCGGGCGGGGGGGGGAAACACACACACACACAGGTGGGATTTGGGGAGGGGGTGGGGGGTGATGCCGCGCGGTGCGGAGGGGCCTGGCGCGACAGCACGTGGGGCCGCGGGGCGCGGCGTGGGGGGACGCTGCGCCGTGCCGTGCGATGTCAGCGGGTGCCACGCCGTGCCACCGAGCCCCGTGCGATGTCACCGGGTGCCACGTGATGCCATCGAGCCCCGTGTGATGTCACCGGGTGCCACGTGATGCCATCGAGCCCCGTGCGATGCCACCAGGCCCCGTGCAATGTCCCGCGGTGCCGTGCGATGCCGCTGAGCCCCGTGCAATTGCCTTGTGGCACCACGCAATGCCACCGAGCCCCTGTGCAATGCCACCAGGCACCGTGCAATGCCACCAGGCACCGTGCAATGTCACCAGGCCCCGTGCAAAGCCCCCTGGCACCGCGCAATGCCACTGAGCCCCATGTGATGTCACCAGGCCCTGTGCGATGTCCCGTGGTGCCGTGCAGTGCCACCGGGTGCAGTGCAATGCCACTGAGCCCCACGTGATGCCCTGTGGCACCATGCAGTGGCACCGAGCCCCGTGCAATGCCACCGGGTACTGTGCAAAGCCCCGTGGCACGGTGCAATGCCACCAAGCCCCGTGCAATGCCACTTGAGCCCCATGTGATGTCACCAGGCCCTGTGCAATGTCCCGTGGTGCCATGCAGTGCCACTGGGTGCAGTGCAATGCCACCAAGCCCCGTGCAATGCCACCGAGCACCGTGCAATGCCACCAAGCCCCGTGCAATGCCACCAAGCCCCGTGCAATGCCACTGAGCACTGTGCAATGCCACCAAGCCCTGTGCAATGCCACCAGGCACCGTGCAATGCCACCGAGCACTGTGCAATGCCACCGAGCACTGTGCAATGCCACCAAGCCCCGTGCAATGCCACTGAGCACTGTGCAATGCCACCAGCCACCGTGCAATGTCACCAGGCACCGTGCAATGCCCCCAAGCCCCGTGCAATGCCACTGAGCACCATGCAATGCCACCAAGCCCCGTGCAATGCCCCCAAGCCCCGTGCGATGCCGCCGGGTGCCGTGTGATTCCCTGTGGCACCGCGCAATGCCCCCGGGCCCTGTGAAACGCCGTCGCGTCCCGTGTGACGCCACCAGCCGCCGTGCGACGCCCCGTGGCCCCGTGCAACGCCGGGCACCGCCCCAGGACACCCAGCACCACACACCCACCCCCACCCTCCCACCAGCGCCCCCCCCCCCGGCCCCGCCGCCGGCACCCACCTGTAGACGAGGGAGTCGTCGAGGGAGCTGTTGTACTGGATCTGGAACATGCGGATGCCGGGGACGTGGCGCTGGGGCAGCCAGCGGATGCGCGCCGAGGAGGCCGTCAGCTCGGCCGCCACGATGCGCCGCTCGCCCGCCGCCCGCGACTCGTTGCCGCCGGCGCGGGCCATGTCGGAAGGGCCGGGCCCGGCGTCGGCGTCGGCGTCACCGCGGGGGACGGGCAGCGGCAGGACGGCCACCTGCACCCGGGCGGCCGCCTCGCCGGCGGCGTTGGAGGCGACGCAGGTGAAGGCGCCGTGGTCGCGGAGCGTGGCCACCCGCAGCTCCAAGGAGCCGTCGGGGCGGACGGCGCGGCGCGACCCGTTCTGCACCAGCCGCCCGTCGGGCCCCAACCAGTGCAAGGCCGGCGGCGGGTCGCCGGCGGCCGCGCAGCCCAACCGTAAGGGTTGACCTTCCAAGACGGCGGCGGGGTCGGCGGCCGCTCCGGCGATGGCCGGCGCCCGGCACGCCAGCTCCTCCTCCGGCACGGCCCAGAGCAGGCGGCCGGCGAGCGGCGGCGGCGAGGCGCAGCTCTCCAACCGGCCCGGCTGCGCCAACCGGCGCAACCACAGCAGTTCGCAGTTGCAATGCAACGGGTTCCCCCCAGCCGCCAGACTGGGTCCCGGCGGTCCCGGCACCGGCGGCAGCGCCCGCAACCGGTTGGCGGTGAGATCCAACCGCGCCAACCGCGGCAACCGCGCCACCGCCCCGGCGGGGACCCGCTCCAGCAGGTTGTGGTCCAGCGTCAGCGTGGCCAAGCTGGCCATGCCGGCCACCGCCTCCCACGGCAGCGCCGGCAGGTTGTTGTGGGAGAGGTCGAGATCCTCCACCGTGGCGGCGAAGGCGGCGAAGGCGGCGGGCTCGATGGCGGCCAGCTGGTTGTTGGCCAGGATGAGGTGGCGGAGGCTGGCCAAGCCCCGCAGCTGCGCCCCGCTCAGCGCCGGCAGCCGGTTGCCGTCCAGGTGGAGGGCGCGGAGGGCGCGGAGGTCGGCGAAGGCGCCGGGCGCCAACCGGCGCAGCCCGTTGCGGGAGAGGGTGAGGTGGACCAGGCTGCTCATGTTGGCGAAGTCGGCGCGCCCCACGGCGCCGATGAAGTTGTCGGCCAGGCGCAGCTCCACGGCGGCGCGGTCCAGGCTGGGGGGCACGGCCAGGAGGCCGGTGCGGGCGCAGAGGAGGGTGGGGTTGGGGGCGGCCGCCGGGCAGAGGCAGCGGGGGGGGCAGCGGTGGGACCCCGCCACCGCCCCCAGCATCACCAGCGGCACCAGCAGCTTCGCCATCCTCCGCCCGCCCCGGCGGCGCCTGCGGGAAAGGGGCGGGGGGCGGGGGGCGAGAAACAGAGTCAGGCTGGGGGGCAGGATCAGGCCCAGAGGGGGACAGAGACAGGATCGGGCCCGGGGGGGGGGGGGGTGGGCAGGATCGGGCCCGGTGGGGCACAGAGTCAGGATCGGGCCCGGGGGTGGGGGGTGGGCAGGATTGGGCCCGGGGGGGGGACAAAGACAGGATCGGGCCAGAGGGTGGGGGGGGGCGGGCAGGATTAGGCCCGGCGGGGCACAGAGTCAGGATCGGGCCCGGGGGTGGGGGGTGGGCAGGATTGGGCCCGGGGGGGGGACAAAGACAGGATCGGGCCAGAGGGTGGGGGGGGGCGGGCAGGATTAGGCCCGGCGGGGCACAGAGTCAGGATCGGGCCCGGGGGTGGGGGGCAGGCAGGATCGGGCCCGGGGGAGGACAGAGTCAGGATCGGGCCCAGGGGGGTGGGGAGGGGGCAGGATCGGGCCCTGGGGGGGACAGAGTCAGGATTGGGACCCGGGGGGGGGGACCAGGCACCACCCGATCCCCTGGGAGTCGTGAGATCCTGTGTGATCCCAGCGATCCCGTGTGTTCCCATGTGATCCCATGTGATCCCAGCAATCCCGTGTGATCCCAGCGACCCCGTGTGATCCCAGCGGTCCTGTGTGATCCCAGTGATCCTGTGTGATCCCGGTGATCCCATGGGATCCCGTGTGTTCTGGTGTGATCCGGTTTGCCCCTGTGTGATCTCAGCGATCCCGTGTGTTCCCATGTGATCCCGTGTGATCCCATGTGCCCCCATGTGATCCCAGTGATCCCGTGTGTCCCATGATCCTGCTCGATCCTGCGGGATCCCATGTGGCCCTGTGAGATCCCACATGCCCCATGCATACCCGCGAGGCCCTGAGAGATCCCAGGAGATCCCCCCTGTGATCCCATGTGATCCTGTGCCCCCCTCCCCCCCCCCGTGTGATCCCAGTGATCCCATTAGATCCCATGTGATCCTGTGAGACCCCGTGAGATCCCGTTACCTCCTCTCAGGGCTCCATGTCGGTCCCGTCTGGGCGTCGCCACGGGGCCTGTGGGGACAGGGGACGGGCCAGTACGGACCAGTACGGACCAGTACGGACCAGTATGGACCAGTACGGACCAGTACGGACCAGTACAGACCAGTACGGACCAGTACGGACCAGTACTGACCAGTATGGCCCAGTACAGACCAGTACGGACCAGTACGGACCAGTACGGACCAGTACGGACCAGTACTGACCAGTATGGCCCAGTACAGACCAGTACAGACCAGTACGGACCAGTATGGACCAGTACGGACCAGTACGGACCAGTATGGCCCAGTACGGACTAGTATGGCCCAGTACGGACCAGTACAGACCAGTATGGACCAGTACGGACCAGTCCAGCTGCACACAGCCTTGTCTGACCCCGTATGGCTCAGCACAGCCCAGTGTGGCCCCATACAGACCAGTCTGGCCCAGCACAGACCCACAGAGCCTGGTATGGCCCAGTACAGCCCAGTATTGCTCGGTAAGACCCAGTATGGCCCAATACAGCCCAGTATGGCTCCACACACCCCAGTATGGCCCAGAACAGCCCAGTACGGCCCAGTATGGCTCCGCACACCCCAGTATGGCCCAGAACAGCCCAGTTTGGCCCAGAACAGCCCAGTACAGCCCAGTATGGCTCCGCACACCCCAGTATGGCCCAGAACAGCCCAGTTTGGCCCAAAACAGCCCAGTATGGCCCAGTATGGCTCCACACATCCCAGTATGGCCCAGAACAGCCCAATACAGCCCAGTTTGGCCCAGAACAGCCCAGTACGGCTCCACACATCCCAGCATGGCCCAGAACAGCCCAGTACAGCTCAGTATAGCCCAGCAAAGCCCAGTACAGCCCAATCCAGGCCAGTACAGCCCAACACTAGCCCAGTAGAGCCCAGTATCACCTGGGAATACCCCACATAGCCCATTACAGTCTAATAAGGCCCAGCACAGCCCAGTACAGCCCAATCCAGGCCAGTACAGCCCAGCACAGCCCAGTAGGAGCCAGTGCAGGCCCAACACGGGCCAGTATAAGCCAGGAAAGCCCTGTAAGGACCAGTATAACCCAGTATAAGTCAGTATGGGCCAGCACAGCCCAGGATTGCCAATGATGGCCCAGTATGGCCCAGTATAAGCCAGTACAGCTCAGGACAGCCCAGTAGAACACAATATGAGGCCGTACGGATCAGTATAGCCCAGTATGACCCAGCACAGACCAATATACACCAGTATGGGCCAGTATGGGCCAACACAGCCCAGTGTGGCCCAGCACAGCCCAGTCTGTATGAGCAGTACAGTCCAGTATGGCTCAGTACAGCCCAGTATGGCTCAGCACAGCCCAGTATGGCTCAGCACAGCCCAGTGTGGGCCAGTATGGCTCAGTACAGCCCAGTGTGGGCCAGTATGGCTCAGCACAGCCCAGTGTGGGCCAGTATGGCTCAGCACAGCCCAGTGTGGGCCAGTATGGCTCAGTACAGCCCAGTGTGGGCCAGTATGGCTCAGTACAGCCCAGTGTGGGCCAGTATGGCTCAGCACAGCCCAGTGTGGGCCAGCACAGGCTGGTAAGACCCAGCATATCCCAGTATGGCCCAGCGTGGCCCAGTACAACCCCAAGTGGCTCAGAACAGCCCAGCATGGCCCAGTACGGCCCAGTACAGGACTGCACAGTCTAGTGTGGTGTAGTACAGACCAGTATGGGACAGCACAGCCCAGTACAGACCAGTACAAGTGCACAGCCCTTTGTGGCCCAATATAGACCAGTACAGGGTAGCACAGGCCAGTACAGACCCAGTACAGACCAGTACAGGGCTGCAGAAACCTGTATGGCCCCATACAGACCAGTACAGGACTGCACAGATGAGTACAGACCCAGTACAGACCAGTACAAGAGTGCATGGCCCATTATGGGCCAATACAGCACTGCACAGACCAGTACAGACTCAGTACAGACCAGTACAGGAGTGCACAGCCCTTTATGGCCCAGTAATAACCAGTACAAGACTGCTTGGCCCATTATGGGCCAGTACAGGACTGCACAGACCAGTACAGACCCAGGGCAGACCAGTGCAAGACTGCTTAGCCCATTATGGCCCAATACAGACCAGTACAGGACAGCACAGACCAGTACAGGATTGCATGGCCCGTTATGGCTCAATACAGACCAATACAGGACAGCACAGACCAGTACAGACCCAGGGGCAGAGCAGTGCAAGAGTACACAGACCTTTATGGCCCAATACAGACCAGTACAGACCCAGGGCAGACCAGTACAGGATTGCATGGCCCGTTATGGCCCAATACAGACCAGTACAAGACTGTGTGGCCCGTTATGGGCCAGTACAGGACTGCACAGACCAGTACAGACCCAGTACAGACCAGTGCAAGACTGCTTAGCCCGTTATGGCCCAATACAGACCAGTACAGGACTGCACAGACCAGTGCAGACCAGTACAGGGGTGCACAGCCCTCTATGGCCCAGTACAGACCGGTACAAGACTGCTTGGCCCATTATGGCCCATTATGGCCCCGTATAGACCAGTACAGGACTGCACAACCCAGGGACCCCTCCTCTGGTGCCTCCCCCATCCCCCGGTGCCGCCCCCCGGTAATTGCCCCCCACCCCCTCCCCCAGTAACGCCTCCCCCCTCCTGTACCCCCCACCCCCCGGTAACCGCCCCCCCCGGTAACCGATCCCCCCCCCGGTAACCCCCCCCCCCGGCACCCCGAGCCCCGGTACCCCCCCCGGTGAAGGCCCCCGGTACCTGGGGGGGGCTCAGCCCCCGGACGCTCCCATCGCGGCTCCGAGCGCGGCACCGGCCGGGGGGGGGGCGGAGGGGGGGGGGGGGGAGGCGGGGGAGGGGGGGCGGGGGGGGGCACCGGGCCCTGTCAGGCGTCGCCCCACCGGGGGGCCATGGGCGGGGGTGGGGGAGGGGGGGCACCGGGCCCGGTTGTAGCGGGGTTGGGGAGGGGCGATGGGATGGAGGGGGGCGCCGGTAGCGGGGTGGGGGAGCAGCGGGGTGCCGGGGGGTGCCGGGGGGGATGGCGGCCGGCGGCCCCGCGGCCGGTGCCGGTGCCGGTGCAGCCCCGGTCCCGCCGGCACAGGCCGCCGCCGCCGCCGCCGCCGCCGCCGCTCGGAGCCGCAGAGCCGCCGGGGCGGGGCGGGGCGGGGCGGGGCGGGGCTACGGACGGACCCACGGACAGACCCACGGACGGACCCACCGACGGACCCACCGACGGACCCGGGCGGGCTCTGCTTCCCCGCACCGCCGGGGCCCGGGAGCCGCCGGTCCCTCTGTCCGTTGGTCCCTGTCCCCGTCCGTCTGTCCTCCCCCCAGCCCTCGCCCCTCCCTCCCTCCGTCTGTCTGTCCATCACTCCTTCCGTCCCTCCGGCAGGTCCTCCATCCCCGCGCTGTCTGTCCGTCCTTCCCTCCATCCCCGCGCTGTCCGTCTGTCCTTCCCTCCATCCCCCCGCTGTCCGTCTGTCCTTCCCTCCATCCCCCCGCTGTCCGTCTGTATTTCCCTCCATCCCCGCGCTGTCCGTCTGTCCTTCCCTCCATCCCCACGCTGTCCGTCCATCCTTCCCTCCATCCCCACGCTGTCCGTCCGTCCTTCCCTCCATCCCCGCGCTGTCCGTCTGTCCTTCCCTCCATCCCCCCGCTGTCCGTCTGTCCTTCCCTCCATCCCCCCGCTGTCCGTCTGTATTTCCCTCCATCCCCGCGCTGTCCGTCTGTCCTTCCCTCCATCCCCACGCTGTCCGTCCATCCTTCCCTCCATCCCCGCGCTGTCCGTCCGTCCTTCCCTCCATCCCCGCGCTGTCCGTCCGTCCTTCCCTCCATCCCCCTGCTGTCCGTCTGTCCTTCCCTCCATCCCCACGCTGTCCGTCTGTCCTTCCCTCCATCCCCGCGCTGTCCGTCCGTCCTTCCCTCCATCCCCACGCTGTCCGTCCGTCCTTCCCTCCATCCCCGCGCTGTCCGTCTGTCCTTCCCTCCATCCCCCCGCTGTCCGTCTGTCCTTCCCTCCCTCCATCTCCCCATTCCTCCCTCTGTCCGTCCCTCCGACCCCGCGTGCCGGAGCCCGGGGACACGCTGGAGACACTGGGGATGCTGGTGGCCATGGGCTGGGGACACTGGGAAGAAGGGGGGGACACTGGGGGCCACTGGGGCCACTGGGGGAGATGGGAGACGCAGTGGGGAATATTGGGGACACAGGGGACACGCTGGGAACACTGGGGACACACTGGGGGACACTGGGGACACAGGGGACACGCTGGGAACACTGGGGGAGACGGGGGACACACTGGGGACAGTGGGACACGCTGGGGAGTCTGGGGGACACTGGGGGTGCTGGGAACATGGGGGACACACTGGGGACACTGGGGGAGACGGGGGACACTGGGCACACACTGGGGACACTGGGGTCAAGGCCCCCCCCCAGCCCCGCCCCAACAGGCCCCGCCCCGAGCCCCGCCCCGTCAAGTCCCGCCCCCGGAGAGGGGTCCAGGGGCGGAGCGAAGCGGGGAGGCGTGGCCTAAGTGAAGAGGCGTGGTCTCGGTAGGTCTGGGTGAGGCGTGGCCCGTGAAGGGGCGCGGCCTCGGAAGGGACGTGGCATGCGAGGGGGGCGTGTCCTCGGCGAAGGGGCGTGGCATCGCGGCGGCGCTCGCCCCATCCCCTCCGCACGCACGGCCGCGAGGCCCGCCCCTACGCTCCCATTGGCAGCCCCGCCGCCCAATGACGGCTGGGGGGCGGGTTCCTCGGGAGGAGGGGCCCCACCCCCTCCCCCCCCGGCCCCCTTTTCCCATTGGCCGCGGCCTTTGCGGGCGGCGGAAGGGGTGGGGCGCCGCGGCGGGCGCAGGCGCGGTGGCGCGGTGACGCAACCGTGCGTGCTGACGTTGCGCGGCGGCGACGGCGGCGCCCTCCGAGTGCGGCGGCGACGGTGAGTGAGGGGCGGCCCCGGGCCCGGCCGCGACACCCCCCCCCCCCCCTCCCTCCCCCCCCGGCCGCGACCCCCGCCCCGGCCGTGACCCCCCCCCCCCCGCCCCGCCACCGGCACCAGTCCCCCCGGACCCACCCGCGGCCGCCGGGCCTGGGCCGCCCCCGCCGCGGCCTCCCCGGCTGGGCCCTCCCGCACCGCCCCGCCCCGGGCCGGACCCCCGGCCCCGCCGGGCCCCGCTCCCCGGGAGGGCGCTGAAAGGCCGCCAGGATCCCCTCCGGGCCCGGCCCCGTTCCACCTCCCGTCGTCCCGGGTGCTGCCGGGCGGATCCGAGGCGTGTGTGGGGGGGGGGAAGATCGCGGGTCCGTCCCTTCCCCGCCTCACCGGGGCGGGTGCGAGGGGGTTGTGCCCCCCGCGGCGGGGTCCTGGTGAAGCGGCACGCCACGATGCTGCCGGTCACGCGTGGAGGGGCGGGCGAAGGGGTCCCCGTCCTCGCTGGGGGGTCCCCCCGCCCCGCAACTGCCCCGTCTCCGTTCTCTCCGCAGGGATCTCTGCGGCTCTCCCGCGGGAACGCATCCGCAGGGCTCGGCCGCAGCCCCCGGGGCCTCTCGCCGCCCCCCCCCCCCCCCCCCCCCCCCCCCTCCATGCCCGCCCTGGCCCGGGGGGGCACCGACTCCTCAACCAGCCCCCGCGGGGGCCCCCGCCGCGGCCGCCGCGCCGCCGCCATGTGAGGGGGGGGCACGGCCGGTCCCGCGTCTCCCCCCCTCCCCGC